CCGTGCACCCGGAGCGCGCCACCGCTCCGCCAGCCCGCAGACACCTCGGGCGCCCGGTGGCGCGGCCACGAGTCACGTGCGCTTCGATCTTTACACACGAGCCCCCCGCCCCCCCGAGTCCCGCGACACAACTTTCCCTATCGAGTCACTGATCCCCGAAGGCATTTCACGGCCCTTCGTGAACGGCGCGTTCGGTGGCGACGGGGCACCGTTCCCGCGGTCCCGGGCCTGGCGTCCCACCCGTCGGGAGCCACCCGGGGCAGGCGGCAGGAAGCATGGCGACAGGGCGCCCTCCTCACCTGGTCTGCGCTCTCGGCCGGGAATCTGGCCGGACTGCAGCAGGCCCTTCAGCCGCTCCACTTCGGCCAGGGTGGACGCGCTCGCGATGGCGTTCTGGGGGCGGGAGATAGGGGGGCAGGGTCAGGTCCGCCTGAACCCCGGGCCCCCCCCCGCAAACGCCTAGACGCGCTCGCGATGGCGTTCTGAGGGCGGGAGATGGGGGGACAGGGTCAGGTCCGCCTGAACCCCGGGCCCCCCCGCAAACGCCCACGGACACGCCCGGCAGCTCTGCGAGCCGGGACGGCGAGGGCTCCAGGGCCGCGGGCGGACTGTCCCTGGCACCCGGACATCAACCCGAACCCCGGCCCGGGAATCTGCAAAGCCGGGAAGGACACGCGGGCCTCCGACGACAGAGAAAATCATCGGGCCACGTGTCCTGAAACTGCAGTGAGCTGAAGTACCCATCTGGCTCACGTTACTGGGCACTTATAAAAATGAAGTTTCCTAGGCAACCATCAAGAAGCATCTTCAGACGGCAAACCTCTCAAGTAAAATCTAAAGCGACGGCGAGAGAGCCTTCGAGGCCCCTGGCCGTCCGCACGGACACGGGCTGGAGGGACAGGACGGGGACCCGGGCTGTCCGCGCCGGGACGGGCTCACGTGATTCCTCCAAGTCTGCTCACAAAATGACTTCGAGCCATTTGTCCTTACGCAGAAGCGGAGCTGGCCTCGCAAGCGCGGGGTCCGCCCCGGCCAGAACTCGCTTTACCGCGCGACGTTGCGCCCCGAACCCCGAGCCCCCAGCGGCTCCACCCCATCCGGGTGCCGACAGAGCGTTACCTTGATGGCTTCCACGTCCCCCGCGGATGGGCCACCTTTCTTTTTGTCACTCGGCAAACCGGCACCTGGGCTGAAACTTGGGGAGGGGAGGGAAGGACAGAAGCGTCACACCCAGACTTCCGGAAACGGCTTCTCTTTTACTTTCAAACGCTTTTGAAAGTAATTCAATCAGTGTAGTATCTTTTCTTTGTTAACAAACTGATACAAGAAACTCTCTCCTTCAGAAACGCCACCCAGTTCGGCCATCTGCGGAGACAGCAGGATGTATTTAACGTCACCTGACGAGGCCGAATACGGAAACGTTTGCTCTGCTGACCTAGCAGAAGTCTCACGTGATACAGGGACCGGTGACGGTCCCGGGCCGTCACCACACAGAGTGAACACCGTGTGTCACTCCCAGGTGTCGTGTTTCATTCTACAGGCGGCAAACTGCCCGACAGAGCGCGTTTCTGAAGGCGGGGTACAGTGAAGTTGGGTATCTGTGTCTTACGTTTTGGTTCTCCTGGCAATATCCTTTGCAAGCTGTGCACCCCGTTTGCCCTTGAACATTTTCTCTGCTTCCTGACGCTCCTACAGCGACACCACACACAGAGTTAATGGAGATAGGAATAGCACGCACATCTAGATGCATTCCTCAGAAAACGCGGCGGAAACGCTCCCGAAACGCTCGGGGCCGGTCAATATACCGAAAAAAAAAAAGGCAATTTCGGGTCAAGAGACACAGTGGTCTCGCCTTCTCTGGTGAAGCTCCCCGAAGACGATTTCAAAGAAAAATACGAAAGAGCTGCCGATGACGGGAAAATCACTGTGACACGGGTCACGCTAGGCTTCCCCCAGGGAAGAGCCTGTCGCTGAGAGGCCGCTGCGGCCGCAGCTGTGGTGGCTCCAGAAAGGCCACCGCCACACACGGCAGCGCAAAGCCCTGGCGTGAACTCCGCCGTGAAAAACATCGGACTTCGCGTTTTCTTTCCCTCGTTTTTATTACGAACCAACGGCAAAACTCGGCAGGCAATTTGGAAACATCCAGAACGAGAGCATCGAGGGAAACGCACACATCCACGACGGCTCGCCACCGGCAGAGCAGCGCTCACCTTCAGCTTGACCTTCTGGAAATCCAGCACCCTGATCTGTGGCACTTTGTAAATGACATACAGTCTGTAATGCTTCTTATTGGTCACGGGGTTTCTCAGAATGCTACGAGAAAAGGAACAGCGTGACACCAATCTCGTTCCCAGTGCAGCATTCAAGAGGTCCGTTTTAAGAAAGTCGAATGGGTCCATAAATTAGGGAAAAGTTTACCATTGTTCACGGTGAATGTCAATGTCACACGATTAAGTGACAGGGAAATTTTACCAGCGCACCGGGCCCCAAGAAAATATATTCAATATCCGCTTGTAAAAGGCACTTACTACTGAGTGTTGTTTTAAGGTCAAGGCTGTAAGGGTGTTATTTTAAAAGGCCTCAGTGTTACCACCAGAAATGATTTCCGTACCTCAGATACGTCAGCGATTTGAGAGCTGCCAGAGGGTCCAGGTCGCCCTGTGGAATAACGGCCCCCGTGAGAAGGGTGACAGTGCGCCTCGTGGCGCCTGGGGGGCGGGCACCTCGCCACCACAGGGACCGAGGCGCGTTGTCGGCTGCGGCGCTTAGCACGATACTGACACGTCACAATAAACTTCATAAACGTAAATAAATTTACTGAAATGACAGTTTCTTAATAAATTTCTACCGAATAAAACGTGGATCAAGTTGAGCTTCTTAAGGTAGAAATCTTGGCCATACAGCGTCTGTCTCAAAAGCACATGGTGTCTCCATGGGTTTTTAAAAAATGTAATAAATACGTAACAAAATGGGGGCGCGGTTTGAAATGTTTGAAGATGCTGTACTGTTTAGGAGGGTAAAGGTGTTACTTAACTTTAAACTTGAATAAATACGCATGTTTTGATTGCTAGGATGCTGAGAAGAGTCTAGGAATTTCCGAACTATGAGAATGAAAAATGAACACAAAAAAGAGAGAATGAGCGGCCATAAAAGACAGAAAAAGAAACGCGGAACGGGTGTAACAAATCCTAGAGAGAGAGAGAGAGAGACGACAAACAAAAACAAGCCAGTGATTCCGTTAACGCTTCGCTTAAGACTTCAGACCGGATTCTAAAAAATCCTGTCCTATGCTGTTTTCAAGAGACAAGTATAAAATATGCGGTACGAAAAAAAAAACCAAGTAAATTTTGGATGGGAAAAAACGTATCATGAAAATACTGAAAGCAAGCTTGTTTTGGCGTATCGTGGCAGATAAAATAGACATCGACGTAAAAGAACGTGAACGAGGTATGAAGAGGATGTTAACAATTTAGAATTTGTATATATCAAATGAAACCACCTCAAAATATATCAAATCAAAGCTGACAGAACTCCAGGGGGTCAGTGAAAGCCACTAGCGCGTGAGAACAGACACGCCTCTTTACGAACCTCAGGCGGAGGAAGCTCCACGGGACAGGAAAAGCACCAGCAAACAACAAAAAGCTAATAAACCGGGTGGTAATTAAGTTAGAAAATTCCCGATCGAGACATCCTGAGAGCCCAAAGGCGAGCTACAGAGTGGGAACAGATTATCTGCGACACGTGCTCATAACCTCACGAGGCCCGGATCTCGAATGAAGAGAAAGGCAGAGAAAAGGGACAGAGAGATCGTCACCCAGCCTCTCCCAGCTCTGTAAGAAGCGTGGGGCGCCGGAGGCCCCGCTCACTTACCAGCTCCACGAGGCTATTGTTGGTGAGGATCAGGTCTGTGAGGCAGGGCAGGGCCTGGTCGAGCCCCTCGCCGATGCGGCTGGAAGAGAAGAGGAAGGCTCTTCGTAAAAGGGAGGACGGAGTGCGCCCCAATATCATGTCAGCGTAGCTCAGAGGATTCCGGGCCGGAAGGGGCAGAATCTGAGATCCTGAGATCCTGGGATCCTCCCTCCCGGGGGGAACCTCGTCAGAGCTCACGGGATCTTTCTCTGATAAAATGTGCACAGAGGGGACCAGAAAGGATCTCGATTTCGATAAGTAATATGTTAAAAGTCAGCTGTACTTAAAGACAGAACTGGTAATGGCGACCATCGTTTTCGAAGAAAGCCAGAATGTGTGCACAATGACGTGTTTTTAATTGAAACGGGAAACTTATCGCGAACATGTAAACGTACGCGATTTCTCGACAGGTGCAAACGTGACAGGTGCAACGCCAGGTCAGGCTCTGCTCTGCACGGGGACGCGCGGCTCGTTTCCCGTTTTAAGGGGAGACAGGTAGGTCCCCGCGGCAGGCGCTGCCACTTCCTCGGGGCGCCGGGGACTCTAGGGGAGCAGCCGCGCCCACCGGAGGACACTCACCATATCCTGTTGTTGTTCACCAACAACGTCTTGAGTCTTCTTAACAGAGGGAAACCATCCAATTTCCTGATTTCGTTGTCAGAAAAATCGATCGCATCGAACTGGTCTAAGGTTGCGCCTAGATTTTCGATCACGGGAATCTTATAGCCTGTGAGATGCGGAGGGAAAGAACCACACGGGTGTTAATATGATTAAAAGGCACCTTCGAACACAGGAGTCTTGCGTGGCGACTTCACTCGGAGCTGCCATTCAGGAACCCAGCACCTACGCCTTGCCCAACATCGCAAGGTACCTGGGATAAAATGGAGAACTAGACAGTCGCACGTTCCGGCTGCCAGGACGCATACGGTCTAGCAGGGGTCTGGAACGTGGTGATGACGACGAGGGTGGCAGCGGCAAGCCAGCTACGGGGCACGACAGGCATTCGCGCGGAGCCAGCGTGCGAGCCTTTTTCCTATACAGAGGACAGCAGTTCCCACGGGCCCGATTCAGCGAGCTCATCACGGTGACCTCCTCTTAGCGTGACAGGGTCCCCTCACTTCACATCCCCGCCACCCCGCTCCACTCCGGGGCGGAGGAGGGTCAAAGGTTCACGCGCAAAGGTAAATCTCTCCATGAACAACCCACTCAAACCCTCACTGACTTGTGTCACGTGGCCAATCACTGCGCTGGAAGCTTCAAGGCCAGATACGAAGTCCAGGTTCAAACACACGGTTCCCAGCTGTGAGGGCCACATCGCAGTGACAGCTGCACCCACGTAAGTGTCCTCAGCCCTCCACGCACGCCAGGCTCAGATGGCACAGGTCAACCTGTGCCCGGAGCCTGAGTGGCCAGTTACTCCTGAATTGAATCTTTCTCCAGGAAACAATTTCATCGAAATAAAAGTACCGGCCTTTGTCAGCAAGGAACCCTAACAGGAAGCGGAGCACGCGGCAGCGCCGCTCCAGAGATGCCACTGTCCCCACGGAGCAAAGCTCCCGCACAGATCGCGCCGTGTGATCCCCCGAGAAGTCGCCCTTCCTGGCTTCCTGTCACCTTCTGACATGCTCATGAGAGAGCCGGACTCCCACCTCCTTTTTGACGCAGGCCCTGCTGTTCGTTTGGCTACAAACCCTTATTGAGATGTAACTCACGCACCCAAAGCTTCATCCCTTGAAAGAACATAACTCGACGGTCTGAGTTACGTTCACAGTTACGCGACCGTCACCGGTATCTCGTCCCTCCCACTAAAGAAATCCTGCGCCCGCGGGCAGCCACCGCCCGCCGCCGCCCACAGCTCTATCTTGTCTCTGTGGCTTTGCTGTCCGGACCGTTTCACAGCAGAGTCCCACGACACGTGGCCCGCTGCGTCTGGATCTTTTTCACTCAGCGTGAGGTTTTCGGGGTTCGACCCCGTTGCCTGTGCATCGGCCGAGCGGAGTCCGCCGCGTGGGCAGCCCGCGCTGACCATCCGCCGTCGGTGGGCTCGGCTCCCAGCGCCGCGGGCCGGAGGGGCGGG